TTCTTCTTCTTTCTTTGTTGATTGTCGGCGCAAAAAAATAAAAATAAAAAGGAAATGAATGTAGAGATAAAGTATGTTTGACATCGGGTTACTGTCAGATATTTATTCACATTAGTAGCAATGGTCTCATTCCAAAAAACAAAATAAAATAAAATCTATAGTTTATAAATAATAAAAATGAATCGTTCATTATCAATTGACGAAAAACATCTTGTACATGTTATTCATTTAACAAATGGTATATTTCCATTATTTATTTTACCATTAGCAACAACTGGTAATTCACTTTGTTTTCTTGTATTTTGTCGACCTAAATTTCAAAAACGTTTAACACGAACATCATCATTATGTATACGTTTATTATGTGTAAATGATTTAATTTTATTATATTTATTTACAATTGATGTTCTATTAAAAATTTATGCAAAACCATCAATACGTATTTATTCAACACCAACAACATGTCGTTTATATAAATGTATACGTTATTCAATATTAGATTTTTCTGCTTATTTACAATTAGGTTTAACAACGGATCGTTTTATTTGTTGTGTTTATCATATATATTATTCACGTTGGTGTAAACGAAATTATTTATATTATTTATTAACAATTGCATTTTTATTTATATTTATAAAAAATTCATCATTTTTATCAAAATCCTATGGTTATTCAATAGATAATAATAATCATACTAGTGTTAAATGTTCAGTTAAAATTAAAGAAGTCAATTTTGCAATGTATATGGCATATGGACAATCATTAATTGATGTTATTTTTATAACTTGTTTACCATTTTTTCTTATACTCTATTTTAATTCACGTATATTAAGAGAAGTTTTACGTTCGCGTACAGAATGTTGGAGTACATTAACAAAATTAATGCATATAACACCAGATCAAACTGAAAGTGCGATTATAATTTCAACAGATAGGATACCATCACGATCAACAACAACAACAACAACAATTATTTTAAAACGTCATCATGCAAGACATCGACGTTTACATTTAACATTTGCACTTGGTTGTATATCATTTATATTTATATTTAGTACGGCACCATATAAAATATTTAAAATTGTCGAAAGACATGATAAAGTAATACGTGATCAATATAGGAGTGGTGTACCTAAATCAGTTCATATGCAATTAGCTGAAGTTATTATTGATTGTTTTGTATATTTATCATGTTCAACACCATTTTTTGTTTGTTTTGCTACATCAAGTATGTTTCGTGATGAATTACGTCGAGTATTTCAATAAAAAATAAATAAATATATATTGTTTTGTGTATATATTAGTGGTTGTTTTTTCTTTTTTCTTTAACATCGAAAGACAAAGTGCAAAAAAACATATTAAAATCATTGGCAATTATGTTTGTTGTCTAAACCAGCGAAAAGAAAATTATATTTTTGCTTTTAAATATAATCTTTGACATTGTTGTCAGTTCAGTATATGATATTTCTGTTTATGTGTTAACTAGACAGACAATGTCGGAGAAAATTGAAATCATTTTTAATGAGTTACATAGAATGATGACAACGTCGTTATCATGATTGCATATGGAATATGTTTTTGTTCAGCACTTTTATTATGAAGAAATTAGAAAAATTTGAAGCAATATGGCATTTTATAGTGTTGACTTTTTTTATTGATTGGTAGTGGAGATGTGTACCTTTTATTGTTAATAAAATGTGAACACTATTAAAGAGATTTTTATCATAAGAGTTCATCTAACAATATATATTATATGTATTGATTTAAAAAGATAAGCAATGACGGGTGATAAATAATGATATGAATGAACTCGTGACTAATTTTAAAAGAGTAAATGACAATGCATCAATATGAAACTTGTTATATTGATCAAGTTTCTGTATATAAAAATATCTCACTTTTAATTTCTTTTAAGGTTACAATCAATTTATTGTCTGAATACATCGAATAGACAAGAGATTTAAGATCATAGTGCTGATGTAAGGGTGTGAATAGATTGAGGACAATGCGATCAAACAATCAATCTTTCTCTAGATCTCATTTTATTCATGAGTTTATCAGTAACTCTCAATTCTATATCATTGAAACAGCTTGATAGAATAGTTTTGGCAAAAGTTCATACCAAAAATATAAAACAACTTATAGCGAAAACAGAACGATTAGTAATTTGATGTGAATTCGATCATTATTCATTGTTCTATCGTACATGACGTGAAATGAACTTTGACTATTGTCCATTTTAAAGTTAAATGATCGGGGGCATTTTTTGAATAACTTTTGGTAGGAACAAGATAGAGATTATGTGATTTTCACCGTTTGAAAGAGCAGATGAAGACGCATCGAATAATATATAGAAAGATTTTTCTAACTACTTTTCTAAAGGTTTAATCAAACATTTTCAAAGAATTGCTTTTTTCTTCTACGTAAAAAAAGTGACTTCTCTATCAAAATACTACAACAATTTACATGTTTCGATTATTTTGTTGAGAAAATGAGGTGGTAAATTGTGTTCTGATGGTTTGGATATCATACTGGTCGTAGTTAGGAACAAAGTCTCCATACAGTTTTGTAGCTCTTCCTTTGGCGACTCTAGCACACTCCTGAAAATCAATAAATTAATATCGGGACCATGAGAAGCATGCAAGTTTTTCTTGAAGTTTTATGTAAAACCTATAAGAAAGTAGCTACAAATATCTTTCTATATATAATTCGATGCGTCTTCATCTGCTCTATCCAACGGTGAAAACCATAGATCTCTATCGCGTTCCTAGCAAAAGTTATTCAAAAAGTGTCCACGGCCATTTAACTCTAAAATGAACAATAGGTTAGAATGGTTTGAATACACGAAATAAATGAAAATTTTACTACAATCAGAGCTGAATATCTTGAGGAAAGTGGAAATTTGAAAGGTATGGATCATGTACTGATATGATTCCTTAGTATGAAAACATAACTGGAATTATATACTTCAAATTTTATAATTGATAGAAAGATTGGCTTTCATGACTTGAAAATTCAATGATCTTATTTCAAGGAATATCGAACAATTAAAGCAAAAACAATTGCACGACAATATTAAATTTGTTTGTTTCATAGTTTGATGCCGATCTTTTCGAATCATGTTTATTAATTACTCATGCAAACAAGATTTTATTGAACTAACTGAATACGAAGCGATTGAACAATCGCTGCTGTATGTGACTAGAGAGATAAATCTAATCATCCATTCTTCGATAGAGTCGTTATGCATTATAAAATGGTAGACTTTCTATGAATCAGAACTTGTGTGAATGGTAAGACAAAAGCATTACAAAAATCACCTATTTCTAGCTTACCTAATTAACAATATTTTTCTAGTAAAAATATTGTTTATGATGATTGATGTACTTCCGGTTACTGATTGTCTGTTAGAATCAACCATTTTTCTTAAATATTATTCGGAAAAAGAGTCTTATTTATCGTTAGCGTTTTTCACTATTGTTGTTTTTCAGCAACATGGGGTATGGGAATGAATCTTTTCATATATACTCATCATCTATATTCAAACACCTTCGAACTGATTTTAATAATCTTTTCGAGCTTCTTTATTCTTTCTTTGAATAATTACATCATTTTTTCGGATTAGATTACATTAAGCAAAAGATAATCATGTGTAGGAAATGTGAAATCACTTGCAGATTTTCATTTTAGTAGTATTTCCATAATGAATTGTTCATAATGACTCAAATGTTTATTAGAACTTGATTCAACAAGTACCCATGCCTGAAGAATCCGAATCGATCGTCAGGTTTCGATTTTTGCTATGAACCTTTAATAAATTTATTACGAATTCTATGCTAAATCTTACGAAACAAGATCTCATTATTGACTGGATTTTTTTGGTGATGCTTATTTTTCTGCTAGATGGTAGAAGCTAAGGTTTCTTTTATGGTAAAAGAAGGTAGCTTTCATAAGAAGGTTGATAGGCAGATGAATAATTATTCTCAGACAGAGAAGTAGTCTGTAGATGATCACATAGAAGAGAGTGACAATCTAGCATATAAACGATCGGAACAATATCCTATGGGAAAGATAACGACTTCAGATATTATTTTTAGTAGTGCTCGAAACTGAGCTAACGTCTCAGCAAGAGTCACGAAGCATGTAAGCAGCAATATAATATAATATTAGGGATTAGAAGACAAAAGAAAATTTTCGAACAATATCTCGTGTATCTCTACAAAATCCTAATTTTTTTTTAGAAAACATAATAGTTATTTCTATCGATAAAAGCATTAAATTTAGCATTTTTTGATCTCAGATAAGTAATACGATTAATTGAGTTCTGATACCGCAGTTTTATTCAAAATTTTTTTTCGTCCATAGATGATGACTTTTACTCAAGTCGAAAATTTACTCAGTTAAGTTTTAATCTACATTTATTTAAAAAAAATAATAAGACATAACGTTTACGTATGTATTATTTCATTATATTGCACATATATTACAAAGATCCTATTTATTCATGAAAATATTGAGACAGATTTCTATAAAGTATGGACTCTAATTTGATTGGTTTGCTTTTTCTATGTGAAGTAAGCCACATTTCTGTAGCTAACATGTTTTTTGTGTGTCATTTTCTACAACCAATAATAGTAAATAAAAGAACGAATGTGCAGAAAACTATTTATTACTTAGAAGTTTATCGAAAACAAATCAAAGGATTCATAAAAAATATCATCAATTATTTCAATATACAATATATTTATTAGAACCTCGTTTTTTACAATTAGATTTAACAAATCAAAATTAAACTGCTTTCGTAGTAAAGTTACATAAATGAAAGTTATCTTTTCAATAAATATATTAATAGAATACGAAAAGTACTGATAGTGTTGTCATGTGTTTTTTTAATATTTTAAAGATAAATTTGTAGACTGTTTACTAAAAATAAATTTATTTTTTAATATCAATTCAGTTTTCCATGTATATATGATAAGAAAAATTCTTTTCAAATAAACATGAAAAGATTTTTGTTAAATTTTTTTCTTGGTTTTATTTATTGTAAAAATGCATTCGAATGGCGTTCAAGATCAATTTATCAAATACTAACTGATCGATTTTCTCCAGAAAATTTTTCTTATATTCAATGTATGGAACAACCAATGACAGAATATGCATTAAGACATTATTGTGGTGGAACATATCGAGGTGCTATTGATCAATTAGATTATATTGTTCAAATGGGTTTTAATGCATTATGGATTTCACCACTACCATCAAATATTGATAAAGAAACTATTTATGGAGTTGGTTGGCATGGCTATTGGCAAGATAATATCTATCAATTGAATTCATATTTTGGAACAGAAAATGATCTAATTGATTTTATTGATCAAGCACATCAACGTAACATTTGGATTATGTTAGATGTTGTTGCAAATCATGTTGGACCAAATGTAACAAATAATTATTTTCCATTTAATAAAAATGAATATTTTCATCAACCATTATGTTTTATTAAAGATTATTCTAATCAAACAGAAGTAAAAAAAAAAAACAAAATATATTTTTTTTTTAGAATATATTTATTTATTTATTACAGGTTGAATTTTGTTCCATTGGTGATGAACAAAGTTCATTACCTGATTTAAATACAGAAAATAATTTTGTCATATCAACATTTCTTTCATGGATAAATGAAACAATACTTAAATATAAATTTGATGGTATTCGTGTGGATACTTTTCGTCATATTCGACAATCATTTTGGAAAGAATATACTTGTTATGCAAATGTTTATTCACTTGGAGAAGTAGCAACATCAAATACATCTTATGTTGGTTCATATCAAAATGTTGCTGATGGAATTCTTCATTATCCATTATATTTTGTATTAAAACAAGTTTTTCAAGATGATAATCAATTAAGACAATCAATGTTTATTCTTGAAAATCAAGTTAAAGAAAATGAAAAATATTTTAAAGATACAACATTATGTGGAATATTTTTAGATAATCATGATCAAGATAGATTTTTAAATCATACACAAAATTCAATACGTATTCAAAATGCTCTTGTTTATCTTATGTTTAGTGATGGAATTCCAATTATTTATATGGGTACAGAACAAAATTTTACTGGAAATCCAAATGAAAAAAATGGTGCAACAGATCCATGGAATCGTGAACCATTATGGAGATCATCATATAATCGTTCAACATGGATATATAAATATTTAACTAAACTTAATCAAATTCGTTTTTTACTCAAAGAAAATTATGGTGAAGAATTTTTTCTATCACATCAACAAACTATTTATATTGATCATAATACATATGTTTATAAAAAAGGTCCACTGATGGTAATTGTATCAAATCAATCATTTCAACAAACGAAAAATTTTTCATTATATTCAACTATAAATTTTAATCAATGGAAAGATTTACTTTCAAATAAAATATATGAAATAAATCATTATAATCAATTAAAAATTGATAATTGGTTACCACAACTTCTTCTTCCTGTTTCATCATTAATATTTCCTTTTTGTTCTGCTTGATAATTTTAGAATTTTTTTTATTTTTAGCTCTATAAACCATATAACTTATTCGATATAAATCAATACGTATTATACATTTATATTAGAAATCGAATTCAAATTCTGTCTTTTCAATTTGATTCATCAAATAGATCATTATTTACTGTTAAGCAAAAGAGATAATAATTACTTAAGTTAGTTTTCGTGTTTTGTGCTCTTATAAACAGGAAAGCAAACATTAGTTAAGAAAATAATTGTTTTTGAAACAAAGTATCCTAACTGTTCGTCTCAACTTCAAAGATAGAATAATGTAATCAAAGTGGCAAGAAGTTTCAAAGGAAATTTTAATCCATATTGGCTGTATGATATGCTCGAGACAACTATGAATAGTCAAAAACTAGTTTTGCTACATTGAACCGATAACATTTAGACAAATGAATGTTATTTATAGAAAAATATGTTAGAACAAAGTGAAACATATACAAGTTCTTCATAGCTTTCTATCATCAAACTTCATTCAATTTACGGAAGGCTGTAAATTGTTAAACATGGTAAAATAGTTGAAACTTGAAGAAAAAAAATCAGAAACATATTCTGGAGTGTTTCGTTTATTGCATGCAATTTAGAATTGACACTAGTTACTAACTTAAATAAAGAGCCACTATGTATTACTATGAGCCGTCTCAGTTATTCGTTAGTGGAATCAGTTTTTAATTATTAACTTGTCGAAAAAACGACCACTTCTTCTAGTCAGTTCTGTTATATTGGATATGCATTTTTATAGCAAGTCATTTCGGTGAACTTGTTCTATTAATTTTCATGTCAAATTTCCCAATCGGATAGATTGACAATCAATATAATGCTTTTGAAAACCAAGCGTTGTTTGACTTCTTGTATCGCCATTTCTGATCATCTAAGCAAATCTATCAACAAAAAAAACCCATAGCAGGATAAATTAAGTTTGTATTGTGTCAAATGTTTTTCTTTTTATCACGAAAACACTGATGCATCTACCTTCTATAGTTTTATTCATTCTACTGACAGTTTCGAATTTATTCATCAGGATTATCATTTTACACAGACTTTTTTTATTATCCAAAGCCATTCGGGTATTGAATTTGACGGCAAGGACCTGGTGTTACTTGTAAAGATGATCATATATTATTGTTGTCGCTTTCTTTGGTTCTTCATTGGGAACATGACCTGAATACTTACGTCATATACAGCTTATAGATGGAATGTGAATGTGGTTGAAGATAACATCTATTCCCACAGTTACAACCACAACCACAATCACATATCATGCCGAGGTCTTTTATATTTTGCGCTACTTTATGTCTTCGAGGCTGTTCTCACTTATGTGAAAATGCTTCTATGGGATAGACAACATAAAACCTATTATTTTTGGCTATTTTGACTTGAAGCATTGAAAATTAATTGAATTCGAGTAAAATCTGATGAAACAATCGATTGAAATATTTTTCTATCAAAATAGATTATTATCAATGTTTTTTTTTCAAAGATATTCATTGATTTCATCAGAAATTCATGATAATCCATAAAAATATCATTCACAATCCTGAATTTTATTTCAAATCATCATTAATCGATTACATTATCATATAGTATCATCGATTTTCATTTAAACTGATTCATTGGCGGATTTTGGTGAGCAAGTGTGTGCACGTAGGTTTTTGTGGGTCAAGTGATTGCGGGTTACCGGAAGATCGCCCATTCGGACTTTCGCCAATAGGACATTCGCCAATGGCGGAAGTACAGGGATGCGTTGGCGAAGGTATGGTGGACTTTCGCCAATTGACGAAATTCCAAGGTATGTATTGGCGAAAGTTCAGCGGACGTTCGCCAATTGACGAAAGTATAGTGGAGTTTTGCCAGCCGTCACAAAATAATATTAATACAGGATACATGCAAGGGCTACAGCTAATACTGTTAGAATATATACTATAGCTTACGCTTAGAGTATATTCATATATGAGAGAGTCATGTTTTTAATAAGAAAAAAGCGAGATTAATATGAAGAAAAAGGCAAATAAAGCATAACCTAATGTTCATCTGATGATGCACCTGATAAATCTGATTTCGAAACATTAATTTTTTTTCTTTCCCTTTCGTCCACGACAAAACAGGTTCACCAACAAGATGAGAAAGAGACTTGATTGTATTAGCTAATGATCTTGTATTTCACGCTAACAAGGGGCGGCATAATTATTATCTAAAATGCCATAAAAAAATATATGACTACAACATACACAAACGTAACTTATTAATATAGTCGATGCACATTTTCTAATTCACGTCTAATTCGCACTTAAATTGACGAAATTCTCCTATACTTTCGCCAACTGGCGAAACTCCATGAAGTGTGTTGGCGAAAGTACAGTGGACATTCGCCGATTGGCGATATTCCAGTGTGTCTATTGGCGAAAGTATAGTGGAGTTTCGCCATTGGCGAAAGTGCTATTTGGCGAAAGTTTTATTGGCGAAGATCCGGAATCCCGTGATTGCATGAATATGGACGGTTATTGGGGAAGTGGATTTTCAGATCAAGAGAAGACTATTCATGGTTACCCACTCATTCTTACTCATCCTCAACCCATCTAATAAACACAAGTATACATAATTGTGAGTGTTTTAGCGTGTCCAAAGCACGGATCACCAAGCAAAGTGTTGCCCACAGTAAAAGTGCACCCATTAAGGCCTTGACAGTGACTTATCATCGTCGTTGTGACCGTCATGGCCGAACAAGTATAAGGGTGGGTGTGGGTGTGGGTGGCTGGGTGTGGGTGTAGGTGGGTGTGGGTGGGTGTGGGTGTGGGTGTGGGTGGGTGTGGGTGGGTGTGGGTGTGGGTGTGGGTGTGGGTGTGGGTGTGGGTGTGGGTGTCTTTTCTGCTATCCATGTCCACACTCACACTCACATTCACTCACACCCACCCCACCCTCATGTAATTCTTAGATAAGTCAATACTTGTTGATGTTCAAACTCCTATTAAGGACAACATTGAATCCAACTAGACCCATCTGAAATCAATCTGAATTTGAGTTGAAAACATCAATATATGTATTCTATGGAAATCTGCTAATTGTTGACTATGCAATGATAAATGACGTATTAAAAACCTTTGATTAAAGCTGAGCACGACTTACCTAAACCATACAATATACTAAATATTTTGTACACATCTGCATTCTCGTAATTGGTTCCATACAAAATAAAAATAAAAATAAAAATAAGATATCATTGGAATTAAAACTATTATAAGATTCAAATCTGTATAGGAATATCTTATATAGAATGGAAGCGTGTATGATACATTGATTACTGGTTTGCTCAATGTTTGTTAAAGTTTATTCGTTGTACATAACATTCTGTAAGCCTTGTTCTTGTCGCTCTTCTTTCAATTCGATCACTGAATCGTTGTTCTTATGTGCTGTTATCTGATTTCAAACACATTAAAATTCATATTTAATATCTCTTAACATAACTCAGAAAATGTGCATTTAACAGTAATGAAATCAAATATTCTACACTAAACGATGTACTTAGAATAGAAAATTAAATGATGCATGATAAATGGCAACTTCTACACTTCTGAAATATCATGTGTAACTTTTGTCGTTGAGATCCAGCTTTTTGCTAAGGAATCGCTATTCTAATCTCACTGAAACCGCATAAAAATGTCTTGGAAGTTATGTCACTCGAACAAGCTGTAGAGTAAATACTTGTATGCTTGATAGTGGCTCATTTGCGAACTTAAATTCTCTGACAGTTACTTCTTGTTCTCTTGCATGCTAATGAGGCATCGAATCAGCGCAATTCGCATATCTTTCTCATTGTACTCAGAACGAGGTATTCAGATAAAGCTATGCTATTTCAAAGATAGCTTCTTCTAAAAACATATATGAAATGATGCGATCTTTGTTCTTGAGAGATAATGTGTGGTTAAATGATGAACTGTGTTCCAAACTAATTCCATTTAGTCATGATAGATTCAAAACATAGTTTTGAAAAATTTTAAGGATCTGATCATAGGAAGAAACATTTTTATCTGATGACATATAAATAACGAAGCCATCGCATGGCCACGTCGAAAAATTTGAATATCAGACAAGAAGAGCAATTTTCTATTCATGCAAATGTCAAGACCAACAGTTTCTTATGACAGCTCATGAGGAAAACATCTAAAATGATACAAGTCGTTTCAGTTCATGTTAGGTTCACAAATATGTTTTGATGATAGAAAAGAATTCCTAAAAGGATTGGTTCTATTGGACGTTTTGGATCAAGTTAGAATAGTTTTGCTGAACTGCTCAACTATTTCTAGCTAAATACTGAAGCATCAAAAAGTTCAATCTTTATGTAAAATTTTAAAGATATTTAGATGAAATGAACTTAGAATATTTTGAAAGTTTCGGTGAAAAAGAATATTCTCTTATTGAAGTATCGAATCTCCAAAAAACCATTGCTTTTCACGAGCATCATAGAAAACTTGAAATTTATTGCAAATTAAATATCTCAACAAAAAAGGATGCTTCTTGACTGAGATTTTCGAAATATTCTATGCATCATCATTGGACCTATAAAATTTCATGTCGAAATTTTATTATTTAGTTTTCCAGTACATATCTAAAAATCAGTTAAAAATTCAGTAAAACGACTCTAATTCGGTCTCAAAAGTTCATTGAGACGGATCATTTCAAAGTTTCGCTAATCACACCAAATTGTCCTTTTAATTTTCATATGAGTTCGAGCGGCAGATTACGATTTCAGTAGTTTCTTCCTCAATTTATGACGTTTGCGACGAACTTTGATCACAGATCGAAACCGAATAGAATGTAACTCACTTGATTCGACTTAGCAACAATCCCTTCATTAGGTCTCAAGCATAAGTAATAAAGCGGACTTCGATGTAGAGCTGTGAATGTTTTATATCTTTGTAGTTGACACATTAACAGATTTCAATTATTGGCATGGTGTGTGTTTGTTTCTTCTATTACATGAT